TCTCTCTCTCTCTCTCTCTCTCCTAGACAGGATCTGCCTATGTAGTTCTGGGTGGTTTAGAACTCTTGGCAATCTCATGCCTCAACCTCCCAAATGCTGGGATTATAGGCATGTACCACAGTTGGCTTAGGCTCATGGTTTAATGGAAATCAGACATGCAAACGGTATGATTGTGTTTAGATGAGGGAAAAAAATCTATGATTAGGGCATTTAAAATATCAGCTCCTGCCTATTTGACTACCGAGGAATGATTTTCAGAGACTATAAGGTTGAGGAAGAGTTAGGTAGATCTCAGTGTTGAAAGGTCAGGGCTGAAGAAAAGTATGGTGTGTGTAAAAAATAAGCGCTAGAGAAAACTTGCACTCCTGAAGATGCACAACTATTTTAGAATGCTTGAGATGTCCCCACAATACATGACACTTCAATATCTTTATTTACTTTTTTGGGGGAATACAAAGCTAAGGCATTAGTGATTTAACCATATGACTAAACAGACTTTCCTCAGATGCTGCTAGGCCTAAAGAACTGAGCTTAAGAGCCTGCCTAACCTTGACTTTTCAACAAGCATAATTTTTGTTTTCATTTATTTATTTTTGATGGAACCGGGGATTGAACTCAGGCCCTTGCACTTGCCAGGGAAGTGCTTATTCCACTGAGCCATCTCCACAGTCCAATTTTTTTTTTTTTGAGACAGGTTCTTAAGTGTGTGGTTTAGGCTGACTTTGAACTTGCAGCATTCCTCCTGCCTCAGCCTCCTGAGTGTTGGGATTACAGGTGTGTGCCATCATGGCTGGCCATACTTCTTAAGCATACTTAAGCACAGGGCTAGCACCTGATTCACTCTCTATTGTCTCTTGGTAATCTCAAGGCACAGAGTGCAAGGAAGCATTGAGAGCTCACCAAATAATGTTAAATGAGTAGGATGGCCCTCCAGGACCCTGGCATACTATTTACAGTTCAGTGTCTCCAAGGTGAATCCTGGAGTATCTCTGAGCAACGAAGTAGTTAACTTAGCTCCTGATCTCCTTGAACTGATTTGCCAGGGAGAATCTACACCCAAAGCAGTGATGCTTTCAATCAGCAAACTAATTTCTTAAGCATCCCATGTTAGGAAAGAGCTGCTGATTTAATTTTATCTGTCTTTAAAACCAGTGTTTGATCATGCTCCATTCTAGCTGGACTTTCTTTCCTCTTTTTCCCTCCTCTATTACTAATGGTGCAGGATCTAATTACCTCATTATCCCTTAATTTATTTATGAAAAGAGTGAGGTTAAAGAAAAGAAGGAACATGCTGGGTCCTTTGGGGACCTTCTTTAAAAGCTTTCCTTTCCCTTTCTTCTCTCTTATGCCCCATAAAACCTCCCTTTTCTGTTTCTGGAAAACTAGAATAGTTCTTACTTATAAATTTAAATAAATAAACTTCCCTTTCGGGGCTGGGTGGAAACCAGCTGTATGCATTAAAACCTGGCCAGTCTCCTCCCAGTGGATTAATCAATCTATCAACAAGAACTCATTGATGCAGAAGTAAGCAGCTTTCAAAACCAGCACACAGCTCCTGGACCTGCTGCCTTCCTCTTGACAAGACACTTGAGGGAATAAGTAGCTTTCAAATTTAAAATTTTATTATTACACACAAGTAATGTATGGATATATTCATCTTGTAAAAAACTCAAACAGTTGGGCTGGAGAGATGGCTCAGTGGTCTAAAGCACCTACTTGAAACAAGCTTGCTAAAGCACAGGGACCGCGGTTCGATCCCCAGCACCACATGCCAGCCGACCCTGCCCCCTGGTGGGCTGAGCTGGCCACACACACACAATAAATAAATGTAATAAATAAAAATAAATAAATATTAAAAAAAAAAAACTCAAACAGTGAAAAATAAAAAAAAGTTTCTTTCCTTTTCCTTCTATTTTATCCCCCTGTTAAAGTGCTAAGGAAGTATCCTTTTATTTAGACCTTTCAATCATGCACTTTCTGGGTTAGGAGGGTGTAGTTCAGTGACAGAGTGCTTGCCTGGCATGCAGGGACCTCTAGGTTTGATCTGCTAGCATGCAAAACAAAAACAAAGCACAATGCACTTTCATAAACCTACACTTCTATAAATCCACTTAAATGGTATCACTACATAGCTGCTGTTCTGAGCCAGGCATAGTGTGGCACACCTGTACTCCTGGAACTCAAGCCAGGAGGATCACTGAGAGTTTGAGACCAGACTGACTGGACTATGTTGGGAGTTACAGTTAGCCTGAAATATAGAGTGAGACCCTGTCTCAAAAACTACACACACACACACACACACACACACACACACACTGCTATTCTGTAGTTCTTACAGTTGTTGTCCATTTAATGTGGTCATCCTTCCAGTCAGACCACAGATGAATGTTCGTTTCAATGCTGTAATCGTCATTCACAGAACAGAGGTGCTATACGTGTTAAGTTTCCATTTTTTTTTTAAATATTGTAAGTTACTGGTTCTCCAAAAAAAAATTTTTTTTTTTTAAACTTCCTGGTTCTCTCGGAATTATTCATTCAATCATGGATTAGCTGTGGTTCACCATGTGCCCTACACTCTACTTGAAGTCCCGGGTAAACAAAACAGACACCTCAAATATAGTGTTGAGTGATGGTATTCTCTTTTTGGAAAAAAGGTCTAAAATCGGGCTCTGCGCCAACTCAAGAGGCCTTTTGGGGTGCCTTTTCAGCTGTAACGATGAGGACCCCATGATCTGTCACTGCCAGCAGGATGGAAGGTGAGTGAGCTTCTTACCCTGCGCCAGGGCCTGGAGCTTACAACACCAAGAGGATTTCTACCCGCCACCCACAGTACGGTGAATCTGACGCCGGCCGCAGGTCCGACCGGGCGGGGCCGAGCTGCGCGCGACCCTCGGCGCGCTCTGGGAGGCCGGTCCAGGGGCAGCCTCTCTGGCCGTAGCTCCCGCGGGCTCTATGACACCGCACTGGCTCGCGGGACGGGGAGGGAGGGAGGGAGAGACCCACTGTGGGAGGAGACCACAATACGCTGTGCGTCGCGTGGTGAGCCTCTCGCGAGCTGTCTCGCGAGAATTAGGAAGTACCGCGCCTGCGCGCTGCCGTTTTTCTGGTGGCTGTGGCTTGTCGGCGGTGTGGTGTGTGAGGGGAGACGGCTAGGGTGGAGGCTACTGAGTACCCCCGGACTCGCCACCATGAGCAGCACTTTAGCAAAGATTGCAGAGATCGAAGCTGAGGTAATGGGCACAGTTGGCGCTTCATTCCCAGCCCGAACATCCCTTCGTCGGAAGTGCAGCTCTTGTACTCCCGTCCCTTCAGTGGAGTCAAACTCCGGCCCCGGTTTCCCGAGTGCGCTCAGCCAGGCCTCTTCTTGATCGCCCTCCTCGGTCGGGCCGGCTTTTCCCTGTTCCCTTCAGCTTGTACTTTCCTTCCTGCTCCTGCGCCGTTGTTCCTTGACTCCCTTCTGCCTAGCCCATGTTCGCTCCTTGGGCTCTTGGTCTGTACTTTACTCTATCAGCTTCTGCGCTGATGAGTTTTTCTGTTTCCTTTTTCTCTGCCTGATTCCTGTACCATACTCTTGACTTAGTCATGTATTTCCTCGTTATTCCCGAGCTCCCCTCGCCTCAGTCTTAAAGTACTTTAATGATTCCCTTGTCCACTGTGTTGCGTTCGGCCATAGGACCTGGAAGTAAATTGAGTGTTCTGATAGTGTTTGAGGCCACCGGGAGATTGGCGTGACTCTGTTGCCTGAGGCAGACAGGGCTTTTTGTTTTATGTAACTTTGCATTTTTCTATTTTTTTTTAGTGGGAATTGAACCCAGGGCTTTCCCACAGAATTACACCCCGCCTTTTTTATTTTTTAAAGACAATATTTCACTAAGCCACTCACTGTTTCCCCTGGGCTCAAAGGGTTTTACAGGCCTGTTCTCCGATGCTCGTTGTTTTATTTTTGCCTTTTTGAAACAGTCTCACTGCGGTTTAGGCTGGTCTTGAACTCCTTGTGTAGCCCAGGTTGGCCTCGAACTTGCGACATTTCTTCTGCCTCAGCCTCCCAAGTGTTGAGATTGCAGCCGTGTGCCACCATGCGTGGTTGTTAGGACCCTGGTTTTTTTTTTTTTTTTTTTTCCCAAGGTTTTATTGATAAACAGATAGCAATGAGACAGTTTCAAATCAAATCGGAAGTACAGTTTCAACAAATAATACACTGCATATACTCTTCTTAGTGGTTAATTGCAGTACAAGATGCGGTCTTGTGATCCTATTTACAAACACCATTAGAACAAATCATTCTATTCATTAAGAGAAAGGACCCTGGTTTTTTCGAGACAAGGTCTCACTATATAGTTTAGGCAAGCTCACCACCCTCCTGTCTCGGCCCTATGAATTATGACATTACAGGTGTGCAGTACCTCGCACAGGTTGTTAAAAGCTTTTTTTAATTTTTTTTTTTTTTTTTGGCAGAACCGGGGATTGAACGCAGGACCTTGGGCTTGCCAGGGAAGTGCTTATTCTACTGAGCCATCTCCCCGGCCCGTTCAGAGCTTTTTGAAGCCAACAAAATGGTGGCCCTGTTTCAGATGGACGTACCATCAAGCACTAGAAAAGGAATCAAACATATTTTATTTATTTATTTTGGCGGAACCGGGGATTGAACTCAGATCCTTGTGTTTGCCAGTCAAGCGCTTGCCCTACTGAGCCATCTCCCTGGCCCCTCAAACATATTTTAGTCTGATCTGTCACTGCTACCTGGAATGACCCACATCTTGTCTCATTTGGCTTTATTTGCTTCTTCTGGAGGATGAAGAAGGTGCATTTTTATGCTTTTTTACATATTTAAGATGAGTATACTGCCATTAATAGGACCTGGAAAAAAAATCATTCTTTTAGCTGGGGAGAGCATTCTGGATATTTAACCTCATGAGAATGGCCTCTAACTTAATTTATTGCTGCTGTTCCTCTCTTATAGATGGCTCGGACTCAAAAGAACAAAGCCACAGCACATCACCTAGGGCTGCTTAAGGCTCGCCTTGCTAAGCTTCGTAGAGAACTCATTACACCAAAAGGTGGTGGTGGTGGTGGGCCAGGAGAAGGTTTGTGTTTTCCAATATTTTTTGTTATAATTTCTTTTTTTAATTATGATTTCTATCAAAATGATATATGCTTATATTTTTAAAGTAATATTACGGGCTAGGGAGATAGCTCAGCAGCATAAATTCCTGCCTGACAAGTACAAGGTCCCAAGTTCAATTCCCAGTACTGCAAAAATAAATAAATGAATAAATAAAGTTTCTATCAGAACACACGTGCGTTTTCTAAATTCTTTTTTTTTTTCTCCTGATGCTGAGGATCAAACCCAATTCTTGAAGATGCTAGGCTTTTCCAGTTTCCACAGGCTTTTCCCCAAGCCTGAATTCTTCAGTTATGTTTATTTTTATTTTTATTTTTTTTAATTTTTTATTTATTTATTTGAGAGAGAGAGAGAGAGAGAGAAAGAGAGAGTGGCCAGCTCAGCCCACCAGGGGGGGTTCTGGCTGGCATGTGGTGCTGGGGGATTGAACCGTGGTCCCTGTGCCTTGCTAAACTTGTTCTAAGTAGGTGCTTTAGACCACTGAGCCATCTCAACAGCCCTGTAACAATTTCAATGATAGAGGAATACAGTTTTTATATCACACTACATTGAATGTTGTGAATTGATGTGGAAGGAATTTGTTTGCTTTAGTTGTGCTTCAGAGGTAAACCAAAAGAAGTTGTGAGATAAAGGGACTAGAGAGGTAGGCAGTAAAAATGTGAAAGGAATTACATGAATTTTAACTTATCTAGATATAATTTCTCTTTTTAATGTTTCTTGCTTTAGGTTTTGATGTGGCCAAGACAGGTGATGCTCGAATTGGGTTTGTGGGTTTTCCATCTGTGGGGAAGTCAACACTGCTGAGTAACCTGGCAGGAGTGTATTCTGAGGTGGCAGCCTATGAGTTTACTACTCTGACTACTGTGCCTGGTGTCATCAGATACAAAGGTGCCAAGATCCAGGTGAGTCAGGCCTAGACCTAGGATGGGAAGAAATCCATATTTTTATTTAAGAGGTATTTTTGGGAGCTCACTGTGTGCCAGGTCTGATTTTGGTGGATTTTGTTGTTGTTGTTTTGAGATAGGATCTCCCTATATAGTTCAGGCTGTTTTGTTTGTGTGTTTTTGTTTTTGTGTTTTAGGGAAGGGTCTACAGGGTGCTTAGGGTCTCACTACTAGATTAGACTCATAGTTATCTGCCTGCTTACAGCCTCCCAAGAGCTGGGATTATAGGAGTGTGCCACTGTGCCCAGTCTCAAACACCATCTCAGAGTCCCCAGGGCCAGGGCTGGCACAGCAGGACTGGGGATTGAACCCCTGGCCCCTATCCTGCTTGCAGGTGCTTTAATCCGCTGAGCTATTTGGCTGGCCCTCAGGCTGGTCTTGAACTCAGTATTTAACCTAGGTTGAACTTGTGGTGATCCTCCTGCCTCAGGTTCCTGAGTGCTAGGATTGATCACAGGGCAGTGCACCACCATACCTGGCTGATTTTTTTAATCTTTTTTTGTGGTACCAGGGATCCAACTGAGGACCTTGCATTTGCCAAGCAGGTGCTTATGCTACTGAGCTATCTCCCCAGCTAATAATGTAGAGAAATAATGCTGGGCATGGTGGTACATACCTAAAATCCCAGCACGACAGCTAAGATAGGATTGCTGTGAATTCAAGGGTAGTCTGAACTACATGACTCAAACCAAAAAATAAAAAAAATAGAGGAACAGTGCCTGTAAAAATACGTTTTTCACTTGAGAGTTGGAGAAGAAAGTCTAATGAGACAAAGACTTTACGTAGAAAGTGACATAGACATGAGACTTGGAATTAGAATAAAATTTCACCGGGCAGAAAAGGAAAAGAGAAGATCACTTCAGGAAGTAGTAATGGTAAACATTTTGCTGTTATGTGAGTCTCTGTGGAGCCAAAGTGCTAGAAACAGGATTTAGAAAGGTAAATTGGGACTGAAGCTTTGAGTACTTGTAAGAAAGTTGGATTTTGTTTGTAGCTAGGAATTACTGTATCAGAAACTTTTTTTTTTTTTTTTTTTTTTTTTTTTTTTTGGTGGAGATTGAACTCAGGCCCTTGCGCTTGCCAGGGAAGTGCTTATTCCACTGAGCCATCTCCCCGGCCCCATATATCAGAAACTTCTAAATCAATAAAGCATGTGTTCAGATCCCCCCCACCCCCCGCTTTTTTTGTCAGTACTGGGGACCAAACTCAAGACCTTGTGCTTGCCACGTAAGTATTAATGCCATTCAGCTATCTTCCTGGCTCTCAGACCCCTTTTAGAAGGTAATTCTTATCTTTGAAGCCTAATGAAGCTGGTCTTCTAAGACATTTTTCTTAGAGAATGGTTTTAGGGATCCTAAGCAAAGGTTCTTCATGGGTATGAAAGAAGGTATATGTAGAATAGAGTGGAACATATTCTTAGTGGGTATATGGTTAAGAATACAAAGTTAGGGCTGGGGAGATAGCTCAGTAGAATAAGCACCTGCCTGGCAAGGGCAGGGTCCTGAGTTCAATCCCCGTTACCGAAGGGGGGAAAAAGTACAAAGTTAGCCAGGTGTGGTGGTGCAGGCCTCCAGCACTTGGGAGGCAGATGGACAACCATTAATTCAAGGCCAGCCAGCATAGTGAAACCCTGTTTCAAAAAGTAAAAAAAAAGTTAAGTTCTGAATTGGATGGCATTTGAATTTTTATTAAGAACTTAAACTGTCTTGGTGCATTGTACCCTGAGTGTCTCAGCAATTATTTCCTAGTACCTTTTTGTATTTCATTTATTTGTCAGTAGGGATTGGAGCCGGGAGGTGCTGAGCTGTTTCCTTAGACCTTATATTTTTGAGACAAGGTTTAATTCCATTGCCTAGTCTGACCTCAAATTTGTAATCCTCCTGCCTCAGTCTCTTGAGTAGCTGGGATTCGGGTGTGTGCCAGGTTTTTATGGTGTTTCCTAGGCAAAGAAAATTATCAAGTCAGTCCTGGTGATATATGCCTGTAATCCCAGCACTCAGGAAGCTAAGGGAGAAGAATTGGCATGAGTTCAAGGCCAGCCTGCACTCCAAAGTAAGATCCTGTCTCACAAAAATCCGCAGTTCCCTCCCTCCCTGTCTCTGTCTCTCTGTCTCTGTGTCTGTCTGTCTCTCTCTTTCTCTTTCTCTCTTTCTCTCTTTTTTGTCTTTTTGAGACAGGGTCTCATGCAGCTCGGGTTGGGCTTGAGCTTACTTTGTAGCCCAGGCTGGCCTCAAACTTGCAGTGATCCTCCTGCCTCAGCCTGCCGAGTGGTGGGACTACCAGTTCTATTTCTTAAGCAGTTCAGTCCAAACAGCTGAAGTTTTGTCATCTTAGGCATAGATGTTTACTAATGGGATATATCTGTTGGGCCCTACATAATTCTTCAAACCTTGGAATTACATTAAATGAGATACTGCCATATGGATTTCCCTTCTCACACGAATATTTGTGTGATTATTTTTTCCATGATAACTACTAAAAGAAATCCAGCTTTCCAATGTTTGGATCTGATGTAACTGAAAACAGTGTAGTGGGTTGCAGAAATTGTGAACTACTAGAGTTAGTGAATCTTTTGGTATCTTTTTTTTTTTTTTTTATCTTTTGGTATCTTATACAAATCAAAAATTACTGTTTCTTTTGAAAATTTAGGATAGCCAATGGGACCCCCCCAGCTATAACCTCAGACTGCCTTAGTATAGTTTGGAAGCTAAGGTGTAGGAATTTGTTTTTGTTCTTGCTGAGCTACACAATGAGTTGTGATATTCATTCATGCTTTTATTATAGAGTTGAAGTAGGAAGAAACCTGCGTTCTGGTGATATTTTATAGTGAATTTTATTTATTTTTGTATTTTAGGGTAGGGTATTCAGGGTCTCACTACTAGATCGGACTTGTAGTGATCTGCCTATTTACAGCCTCCCAAGAGCTGGGATTACAAGCGCGTACTACCATGCCCAGTGGGTACCACCATGCCCAGTCTCAATTGCTGTCTCAGCATGCCTGGGGGCAGGGCGTGGGCTTGGGCTGGCCCTGCAGGCTTGAGGATCAAACCTCTGGACCCTGTGCCTGCTTGCAGGCGCTTTATTCCTCTGACCTATTTGGCTGACCCTTGTAGTGACTTTTATTGCTGAAGAGGTACCCATGTAGACACTGTATTGGTTCATGTATTTTGCTGGGATCCTATGTTTTAATGTATGGAATAAGAATTAGGAAACACAGGTGTATGGACTTTGGCTTGATTCTCTCTGGCTTCAGTCTTGTTGATAGTCTTAGCTTTTGTAGCTCAAAGAATGGCTTCTTTCCTGATGAGCTTCTATTCCCACCTGTCTCGGGGCTTCTAACAGTACCAGAATAGAGTGTAACTTTTCCCTGATTTTTTTGTTTGCCCCCTATAATTTTTTTTTTTTTTAATTCTCTTTCCCTGTTTGATTCTAGAAGGGTTTTTGTTTGTTTTTTTCTGGTACCAGGGATTGAACTGGAGATTGCCGGGCAGATACTGTGCTACTGAGCTATGTCCCCAGCCTGCTCTTTCCCTATTTGGAGGATGCTTTCTTTTCTGCCTATCCCGTCTGCCTCTGTTCTTCCTTTTTTTCCTCCAGAAATCATTTACATATATCAGGTGTGCTTAACCCCATTAAGAAGTCTACCATAAAAAAAAAAATTTTATTTTTAGTATAGGGTGTACAGGGTCTCACTACACAGATCAGATCAGACTCATAATGATCCTCCTGTTTTCAGCCTCCCAAGTGCTGAGATTACAGGTGTACACCACCATGCCCCAGTCTCAGTCATCGCCTCAGCATGCCCCAAGGGCAGGGCCAGCATGGCATGCCAGGGATGGAACCCCGGTTCCTGTGTCTGCCTAAGCAGGAGCTTTAATCTGCTGAGCTATATGGCCCCCTCTTTCCCTATTTGGAGAATGCTTTCTTTTCTGCCTATCCTGTCTGCCTCTGTTCTTCCCTTTTTTCTCCAGAAATCACTTAAATATATTAGGTGTGCTTAACCCCATTAAAATGTCTACCATGAAAAAAAATTTCATGCCTTCATGAAATGTTTTTTGGTTGAGGTTTTGTTTTTGTTTTTGTTTTTTTGCGGAACCAGGGATTGAACTCAGGCCCTTGTGCTTGCTAGGCAAGCGGTTATTCTACTGAGCTATCTCCTTGGCCCCCTTGAAATGTTTTTTAAAATGCTGTTTTAGGGGCCGGAGAGATGGCTCAGTGGAATAAGCGCTTCCCTGCAAGCGCAAGTACCTGAGTTCAATCCCTGGTTCTGCAAAAAAAATAAAATAAAATGCTGTTTTATCTTAGCATGGTGGTATGTGTCTATAATCCCAGCACTTTGGGAGGCTGAGGCAGGAAGATCATAACTTTGAATCAAGCATGGGCAACTTAGTTAAGATTTAGTGAGAACATGTCTAAGAATAAAATTAAAAAAAGGACTTCGGATGTAGTTCAGTGTGAAGACCCTGAGTTTAATTTCTTTTTCTTTTCTTTTTTTTTTTGGTGGTACCAGGGATCAAACTCAGGACCTTGTACTTGCCAGGCAAGCACTTATTCCACTGAGCTATCTCCCCAGCGCCCCCTGAGTTTAATTTCTGTATACCATTGTTATGGGTTTTCAACATAAAAACCAGACCTGAGTCCAAATTAAATTTTATTTTATTTTTTTATTTTTTTGCAGAACTGGGGATTGAACTCGGGCCCTGGTGCCCAAATTAAAATTTAAATATGAGCCTTTTATTACCGGGCCTGGGACTGCTTGACCATACTCACGTGGGAGAGGACAAACAGCAAGAGAGCCTTAGAAGTATAGAGATTTTAAAGGTAGAAACCACATCCTGTTTGGCAAACAAATTGGTCATCTAACACAGACAGAACAGCACCTTTAGGGACAGCATGACCATTACTCAACATACATTCTTTTGGGAGCATTGTTTAGTTCTTGTTTAACATACATCTGTTTACTCATGGTCTTGACTATCATAGCAACACTTTTTAGTTGGTTAGCAACACCTTAGTTATTTTGTACAGTTAGAAACACTTTAACCTTTAGTTTGACTTATTTTGTAGGTCTATTCTGGGAACTTTTAGTCTATTGATGATTTATCAGTGGTAGACCAAGCCTCCTCGCAGTCTTACAAGGAAGCAGGGTTACAGAAAGTTGAACAGAGTAATTGTTTACATTTAGTTTTTTTTTTCTATTTAATAAAGATCTTTTATTGTCTCATTAAAATATCAGATTAGCTTTACAATCCAGAAGCTTGTTTCTGTGGCTGGATTAAC